TGTCTGCCTACTTCTTAATCTCTGCTCTTTCACTTCGGCCGGCATTCTTCGTGGAAGCGCGAGCGAGTAAATTGAGCGCGTACAAATCCGTTCTGCGACTTTAATAAGCAGGCCGACGAGTTGTCACGGTTGCGCACGTCCCGATAAAAATTAGCCAGTCTAATCTTCGTTCGCCTATTTGTAACACATAGACACTGCTTTCACACACTGTCTCCTTCTCTCTGTTTACTCTCGTGACCCTTGGATGGAAATCGTAACGAGACTTTTCTTTTCGACAATTGTGCTCTTAATACCCAACTATTGAAAAAATCCCTCCCCTTTTTACCGACGCGACAGAGGATAAACGTAGACGCAATTTGCTAGTCACTTAATCCGCGAACGCGATTCATTGGCTGCAAATTATTTACACGCAAATACACAGGAGGAAAGTGTCACCGTCAGAGTTGCAATACGCAGTCGAGTCGTCGGTACAAATTCGTATCTTGTAATGTAATTTCGTTTATTTGCGATTTATTATGGAAAAACAGTCGATAATTGTAGATGGCCGGTGATTAAGGAGCAAACTCTCTTCTTACCGACTCTGTCAGAGAGTCGTTTCATCGAGTAGGATTTCCTTTCTTTTCTTCTTTTTTTTCTCCTTTTCTGGGAAAAACGGAAACAACGTTATTCCGAGTATGATCGTGAAATCTAATTTGCTCGACGTTCGCCTTCTTAGCCGGCGAACGGCCGTGGTTTAAATTAGCGAAGAAAATCTGTAGATTAGTTAACGAGGTTGAATACGAACTCGGCGAAATTGGCTCAATTAAAAGCTACGGGCCAGCTGTCCCGACGATTGTGCCCCGTCACGTGACTGGTCCTTTTTCCCCTGCGTTCTTTCTTCTCCTTTCGATCTCCTCCTCCGTATTTCGAGATGCATCGATACTCGATGGGCCGTCATTAATCATGCACTTTTGTACACACGCTCGTCGATGGGACTCCCCGCGAGGGACATAATCTCGTGGCCCGGCGATAAAAATGAACCCTCTCGCGTCGTGATTCCGATTGCTCGATCGAGACCGAGGGCCCGTTATTAACTCGCGCAAGATTTTCGTCTATTTGCACGAATTTGATCGCTATATTTTGTAACATCAGGTTTAAGTTAGGTTAGGTTAGGTTAGGTTTCGTAAGTTAAACATCATTTAGGTTAGGTTAGGTTTCGTAAGTTAAACATCATTTAGGTTAGGTTAGCTTTCGTAAGTAATTTTTTAATCTTTGCCGACAAATTGGTAATGGCGCGTTTGTCGTCAAATTCGACAGATCTCAATATCTCATTAGCAGCAACTATCTGATCATTATCTTTTCTCCAATAACCACATCAAAACCAGCTGAATTCCAATCGTATTAGAGCATAATTGTTGCTTGTATTTTATTAATAAATAAAGTTGCTTTTATCGAGACGGAAATTATCTGTAATATTCTAACCTCTGGACGTGATCAGTGATGTCGTGCGTTTCCTGAAGGACTATTAAATTATTATTAATTTCTTCTTTCATCATTTTTTATTAATATTAAGATATAACATTACAATGTAAAATTATCCTTGTCAAGTTTGAACGAACGAAGGTTAAAGTGAAAGATAAATACAACTTTTTGGTCATGTCGAATTTCATTCAATTCATACGCCGAAGGGGTTGTTTTTTTTCCTTTTTCGTCATATTCATCTCGCGAAATATTGTTTCAGGACATGGATCTGATCGAAGTGCTCTGGAAGCAAGACGTGGATCTGGGATTCACGTTGGTGGAGCCAACGACAACAGCGAAGAAAGCGCCCACCGTGGAAAAGGGATCCGACGACGAGATCGAGAAATTGAAGGCTCTCGAAGCGATCAACGGGAGCAGCGAGAAGGTTAGTTTACACACATACCTATAGCATATTTCGTCGCGACACGTTTCGAACCAGGGATCGAGATTATCCTTTAAGAATAGAAATTAAAAGTTTCGTTTAAAAAAAAAAAAAAAAAAAACAAGGTTTAAAAAAAAAGGGAAAAGGAAAAAAATTCCATTAGGTGTTTCTGCGAAATTTTCATTTCGTAGAAAGAAATTTTGATTTAAAAGAAGAAACAAACGTTGTGAATTTTTTTCAAGTTTAAATTGAAAAAAAAAACGTTGTAACAGGTGTAAATTATAAAGAATTATGTTTATAACAGTAATGAGTTTGTAAATTACAAAGAATTGTAAGCATCAATGTTTTACATTTGAAATGATATTATACAA